CGGCCCCACCGGCATCCCTGGCCCTGACGGCATCACTGGCCCCAGCAGCGTCACTGACCCCAGCAGCATCACTGGTCCAGCAGCATCACTGGTCCATCAGCATCACTGGCCCTGACAGCATCACTGGCCCCAGCAGCATCACTGACCCAGCAGCATCACTGGCCCCGGCAGCCACCATGAACAGCCAGAGCCCCCCAGGGTGCTGGAGGGGGAGAACAGAGAGTCGCCCCAAGGTAGAGACTGGTGGGACTGGTGGTGGCTGGTGGGGTGTGCAGGTATTCCAGGTGCTGGTGCTGTGTGTGCTGTGGAGAGCAAGGAGGAAAGGAGAGGTTGAAGTGGTTAATCACGGAACTACTTGGAACTCAAAAACAACTTTGGGGACTTTGTCAGTCCAAAACGTTTGCTAATGTGGGATGCTCTTGGTCATGGGATAAGAGCTGCTGCAGGTGCCTGTAGTGCTACATGAAGCTGATTCTGTGATTCTGTATCATAGTATCATCAAGGTTGGAGGAGACCTCTAAGATCATCAAGTCCAACCATTAACCTGTCACTGCTGGAAACCCTAAACCATATTCTGCTGCAGCAGGATCTTGACATGGTGCATGGAGTTGAGTCCCACAGAGCAGAAGGTTCTCACTTTCCTATTCCAGTGCCTGAACACCCTAAAATGGCAAACATTTCTCCTGACATCTAATCTGAATCTCCACTGTCTCAGTTTATGACCATTCCTCTCCTTGCAGCCATGGCAGGAGAGACCAAACGGATCTGATGGGAAGTTGCATTCCAGGTGTGATGAGGTTGTGTTGTTGCAGTTTGGAGGATAGTGGTGAAATGTCTCACAGTGGTAGTTAAATCTCACCACTTTATGGCAAGTGTAAAGAGTACTTATTCCAGGATATATAAACATTATGTTTTTCAAAAAGTGCTCCTTCACAAGTTGAGTGAAAGTAGTATTGGGAGTGAGCAAATACTATGTATTCCATGTGTAAATTCATGTCCTCAATGCGCAACAAAGTACTGAAGGTACCAATACCTTGCAAATTACTCTGATCTGTTCCCTTCCCTTTCTGGCAGAACTAGGGCAATGCATACAACTGTAGAACTTGAAAGTGCCTCTTTCAGAGAGAGCAGAATATTGGGCTGGGATTCACCTAATCTAATTCATATGTCAACAGTGATGATGACTGTAATAGACATCTAGACTCTTTATTGTCAGAGGTACTCCTAGTATTTTAGTATGAATGCCAAAAATATATTACAGGAATCACTTTGTAGAAACTGGTCTTTGTAGAGACCCAAAGTTAAGTCAGTTTATTCCCAAACAAATGGGATTTGATGTGTAATTTTAAATTTTGGAATTGCAGTTGATCTTCAGAATCTGTTTTAGGCCCCTACATGAATTTCTGGATTTCAGCACTAACTCTTTGCCCATTCCTTTATTTCCATTGAAAAAATTCACCTTTCATGGATCTGAAACAAACATGGTAACCTATTTTCTGTCGTATTTAAACATTCATAGCTATTCCAGTACAAATCTACTTAACTCCTTAGTTTTGAACAGATGTATTTCAAGTTAATTAACATTTAGCTTTTATGTCCTTTTCTTTCCTGTTAGATCCATTTTAGAAGGACATTCTGGCACATTCTACAACATAACAAAAAAGAGAAAATACTGACATTCAGAAGTTGCTTTAAAGTCTTACATTGATATCTATTTTAATTAGATATCTGCTTCATCTCCGTTTTGAAGAGTGTTTATCCATTTTACATTGTAGTCTTATTAATTACATGCAGGTTATTTTACAAACAGAAGCAGAAATAAGGCAAAGGAGGTCACCTTCAAGGCTTGACACCTTAATTAAGTCATTGGAAGAGGACAGAGACTACTATAAATGTGAGACTGAGAATTTGTTGAAGAAATTAAGAAACACACTTCCAAGTCCTAAGCAAACCTCTGTTGGTGGCAGCATGGCAAAAAAAATTTCATCCATCCAGGTAAGATTGGGAAATCACTTTGGAAGAGGAGGAGTGTGTTTGTTTTAGAATGTTAAACTACCAAATCTATAATTATCAGGCAGAAAAGGTAATTGATTATAAAGAGAAGGATGTGTAAGATGGGAATGGGCTGATAATGTGATTTTAGCTGCTGTTTTACACTGCCTGCACGTATGGCACTTGAAATAGATACTGGCAAGTGTTTGCATTTTATGTTATCATTAATGTGGTTGTCAGTACCATTTATGACAAAGATTTGCTGCTCAAAATAAATGCTTATTTTAGAAATGGTCTGTATATCTGGTCTCTTATAGTAAGAAATAAATATGTAGAATCATAGAATTTTAGGGGTTGGAATGGACTTTAGTCCCAACCCCTACTACCTCTGTGGGCAACCTGTGCCATCAGCACCCTCACAGGAAAAAAGTTTTCCTAATATAACCCAAATTTCCCTTCTTTCAATTTGTACCCATTGCTCCTTGTCTTGTCCCTGCAGCTCCTAACACAGATCCCTCTGCAGCTTCCCTGGAGCCCCTTCAGCTCCTGGAAGGTGCTCTGAGGTCTCCACACAACCTTCTCTTCTCCAGGCTGAACAGCCCCAACTCCCTCAGCCTGTCCTCACAGGGAGATGCTCCAGTGCTCTTAGCAACTTTGTGGCCTCCTCTGGACTTGCTCCAACAGTTCCATGTCCTTCTTACATTGAGAGCACCAGAACTGTGTGCAGTATTTCAGCCAGAGTCTCAAGAGAGCCAAGTAGAGGGGGAGAATCACCTCCTTTGACTTTGACTATTTAGAGGTTACCAAGTTGAAGACTGACTGAATCTTTCATAGAAGTTTCCAAACCAGATATAATAAGAAAGTGTTTTGAGTTTTGTTTCTCTATTTTAACCTTATATCATCTTATTCTTTAAGAGAGTGAGTTCTGATCCAGAAGTCTTGAAAATACTGAGAGAACACGAAGAACTTAAGTCAACTCTGAAAAAATATGAGCGTCTGGTTGCAGAAATTCAGGGTAACTCCAAAGTTCTGACTGCTGAGAGAGACAAAATTTTCAGTCTTTATGAACAGGTAATTGTATTAATATTTATATGCTTAGTTGAGATAACAAGGTGATGTGCAAGAAAAAAGTTTCTATTTTTGCTTTTGAAAAAGGAAAAAAAGCAAAGCATTTGTTTTAAAAAAAAAAAGAACAAAAAGTTAGGGAAATTGTGTGATTTGAATCTGTCAGTTCAATACAAGTTTGCAAGTGCTGTCCTGAGATGGGAATGCTTTCCTGAATCAAAGAATGTATGCACAAATCACTACTTCATCTTTGATGTTACAGTTTCTGGGTGCTCTGCATCACCAACCATAGGCCACAGGAATATATCACTTTAGCTCTTCCATCTTTCTCTTCTGCTGCTGTTTTTAACAACAGGCACAGGAGGAGATTTCCCAGCTTCGTCAGGAAGTTATAAAATGCCCCAGGAACCCTAAAAGCACTGCAGCAGCTCAGGCTGTCTTAAGGCGTGTGGAGATAGAAAGGGATAGAGCTCTGTCAGAGCTGCTAAGGATGACTACGGAACGCGATAGCCTCAGGGAGCAGCTACAGGTTTGATCCTCTCCCATCCCCCCCAGGTTATTTAAACCTGAAAACTACTTAGTACTGTAATTAAAGTTGCCAAAGATTTCTATTCTGATCCTGAGAGTTAATTGCTTTACAAGTCTGTGGTGAGTTGAGACTTGTCCTATGTGTGATTTTGTTGTTGCTGTTATTTGATAACAGATTTCCCAAGCAACTGCGTTTAATGAGAAGGCTCATTTGGAACAGAGAATTGAAGAGCTTGAAACTGCTATTCATAATGTAAGGCAAAATAATTATTTATGGAATGGCAAATATAATGCAGGTGATGTTCGTGGTTAATCCTGCAGGACCAACCCGACTGTTTTCTGTCAGAAAACGATAGGCTGAGTGGATGTTATTTACTAAGAGTGTTTCCCCTCTACTCTGCTCTGGCAGAGGGACATGGACCTGTTGGAGTGAGTCCAGAGGAGGACATGAAGATGATCAGAGGGCTGGACACCCTCTCCTGTGAAGTCAGGCTGAGAGAGTTGGGGTTGTTCAGCCTGGAGAAGAGAAAGCTCTGGGGAGACTGTGCAGCACATTCCAGTCCCTAAAGAGGACCAAGGGTTAGGGTTAGGGTTAGGGTTAGGGAAGGGACTTTTTACAAGGGCATGGAGTGATAGGGCAAGGGGGAATGGCTATAAACTGCAAGGGGGCAGGTTTAGATTAGATATAAGGAAGAAATTCTTGACTGTGAGGGCGGTGAGGCACTGGAACAGGTTGCCCAGAGAAGCTCTGTATTCCCGACAGTTTGACCTAGTGGTAGGTGGTTTGGAAATGGATGATCTTCAAGGTCCCTTCCAACTAAAACCATTCTCTGATTCTCTGATTTTTAGACTGTACCAAGTCTTTTGACGCTGTTAGCCACAGTATCATTGTATTCAGATTGGGATAGGCTTGTTCTACTTGGAGTAGAAGTGGCTTAAGAGGCATATAAATCCTACCTGCCAGTACTCCTCAAGGAGTCATAAACAGGTTTCCTACAGCAGTGCATGGTGGAGGGATGAGCAACAACAGACATCAGCTGAAATGAGAAGGGTTCAGACTGAATGCAAGGAAGTGCTTCTTTCTCATAAGGACATTTGAACAGTCTCCAGCCTCTGAAATGAGAAGGGTTCAGACTGCATGCAAGGAAGTGCTTCTTTCTCGTAAGGACATTTGAACAGTCTCCAGCCTTGATCCTTTCAATACTGGACTGGACAAAGCCTTGAGCAGCCTTTTACAAGACTGGACTGGACAAAGCCTTGAGCAGCCTGACCTCAGAGCTGGCCCAGCTTTGATCAGGAGTTTAGACTAGAGACCTGGAGTGCATTGAAAGACCTGATGCTTCAAAACCAAATGTAACTGGACTGTTCTGGCAAGTCTTACTTAATATGGTTTAAGTTCCTTGTGTGCAACCTGATGCTTCAAAACCAAATATAATTGGACTGTTCTGGCAAGTCTGCTTAATATGGTTTAAGTTCCTTGTGTGCCCAATTCTTTGCTAACATAAGGCACTAAAACACAAAATGAAAACATTAATGAAATGAATGTAACTCTTAAAATTATTTACAGTCTTGGTAGAAGTAGATTTTTAAATAGATTAACATTGATTTCTGTAGTGTATCTTTCATTTAGATCTTGTGGTTATAAATTCTGGTTCATTTTCTTTTTCCCCTTCAGCCTTCTGAAATCATACCAAGCTTATAAGTGTAATTCTGAGGGTTATAATATTAAACTGAGTGCATCTGAGATGAAGAATACACTGTAGGCTTAAATAGCTCTGAGTAGTAAATTAACTTTAATCACACACCTACATAAGAGGTGTAGTGAATATTGGGAGCTCTGTTTTAGGTACATCATCTTATTTCTTCAGTTCTTTTGGTCCCCTTTGAGGGAGATACATCAACATGAAATTTATGGCACTAGTTTTGGAAAAGTTACTGTATACCAGAGGCTAACTGACTTGCTCTTTAGAGGTATTGCCTTTGGTTATAGTAAGACAGAAATTAGTACTGGAAGAACTGGTAAATGAGGAGAGGGATGAGGTGAGAAGTTTGTACTTTTAAAGAGTTGTTTCAAAGAAATCAGGAAGGACAGTTCTTTGAATGTTGAGTGTAAGCATTTGAATAAAAAGATGCATCTATTTTTAACATGGAGATTTCAAATTAGCTTTGCTGGGGTCTGTGCAAGAGGTTTTGAACCTGTTCTTGATTCTAACTACAGACCTGAAGGCCTTGTGGCAGTAACTTGGTCACACAGGGCTTTATACAAGAGTTTTATGGTGATTTCTCCATCCAGTTACTGGCATAGCTATATAACCTCATAGAGGTCTAAAGTCATCGTTGGTCATGTTGTATCCTGAGCTGGGATTTTTGCCCTTATACCTTCATAATAATGTTTTCTCTTATGTTACTTTGCACTGAAAATTTTAATGCTGATCAATGCCAAATGTTTTTGCTCGTGGGCATAATTAGCAACTGAAAAATTACATAAATAAATGAAAATATTCCCAGAGATCTGAAAGAAAGGAAATTGTTTGTCCTTCAAAGGAAGTGAAAATCACTTTTCAGCTCTTTGCCAATTATCTTCAGTAGATTTGGAGTCAGGCCTTGAGAAAATGAAATACATTTCTTCTGCAGCAAAAGATTTGTGCTAAAAACAGAGTCAAAATTGAATTAATATCATTTTTTATGCAGCTCTTTTTTTCCCCCCAGCATTTAATGTTTATTTATATTTGTAGTTAGACAGTGAACGGTTAGAACAGATGTCCAAAGTGGCACTGATGGAGGACAACATTGATTCTCTGGAAACTGAGATGAAAAGATTGGCCAGAAAAGTACTGGACTCTGAAACTGAGCTGAGTCAACAGAAAGCTGAATATGTTTCTCTCAGGTAAGTATGAGGATTTAATTGCACTAATTGGACTATTAACATCAGCCTATATTCATTGATTTTCATAACTCATATAGGTGTCATAGCTCAAAGGCAAAGGAATTTACAATAGGTGCTTATGAATCATCATTTTTTGGAATGAAATTGTTTTCCTCATTGCTTATTTATATGTAAATGTTCCTGTCTTGTTGATATGATGATATGCTGGAAACCATTTTCAGTGAAGAAGTAAAATTCACTTTGACTTGGAGTTAGGAGCTCTCTGTGAGGAGCTGCAGGGATTGATGGGTTTTGGTAAATTGCTATGAATAATTTTGTTTTCATTGTTCTTATTGTTGTTTTTATAAAGGCAGGCAAACATGCATAAACTAATGAGTGCCACGTGCCCTTAGTTTTAAACACCCATTTCTTAGTCTTGGAGTCTTTTCATGAGAAGAAATTAAATGGAAACTTTGCATAGGGTTTATGGCCCTGCTGGAGTTCCTAACCATGTTCAGACACATGTGGTAGGACCAGACTCAGGGAATTAAGCATAGGTCAGTGAGTGCAAGCTAAAAAATGATAATTTACTAACTGGAAGGAAAGATAATCACGGGTGAAGTTTGTTCAGAGAGACATAATGGATGAGATCAGGCTGAACTGGGCTCCAGAGTGCACAGGCTGCCAGAGAAGATACTGCAGCTCTTTCCTCTTGTATTGCCTGAAATAGAATTCAGTTAGGCAAACACTCTCCTAACCCTCTGTCCTTGCAGGTGACTGGTGTAGTGACACACAGGTGGTGTAGTTTTTTGTTGGATGTTGCCTGGTGGGAGTGCTGGGGATGTGATACTGTGCTGGTACACAATACTCTTCTCAGGAGACAGAGATTGCTAAAATAGCATGAACTCCTTTGCCAATCCAGTCCTGAGCTACTGCTGCTTTGTACTAAATTGTCAGACTTATGAATACTGTAAAAATTGAGTTGTTGAAGATTAGTTGCTGCTACTGAAATATCTTTTTCTTTCCGCCCCCAAACTAGGCTGATAATTCTCTTTGCTTTCTTGAACAGAATCATTAATATTACTATGTGATTTGAACAGGTAACTTGGGTGTAACTTGCAACATTCCAGTGTGTGTTCCAAGGGATGATTTTTGGTTTAATTATTTTAGTGAAGTGTTTACAACCTGTTTTTACCTGTTGTAAAGAATTCTTCTTACTTTTCTGTGACCCTCTGCAGCAAAGTGACAGGCGAATGGTTGGACTCAATGATCTTAGACATCTTCTCCAACCTTGATGATTCTAGGAGTATTCAGAATTTAATGTACAAAAATTAATATTAACATGAATAAAATATCCCAGATAGGCTAAAAGTACAGAAGAATCTCACTTTCTGCTACCTTTTGCAAGCTTAGTGGCATTTCAAAAAGGAAAAAATTGAATATATCTATGTCTGAGTTCTCCTGTCTGGTGCTTCTGCTTTTCCAGTTTATTGCATGAGAAGACAGAACAGAGTCTTTCAGAAACTCAGCAAAGCCTTGTTAGGAAAAAACATGAAGTGCAACTTAGCCAAGAGAAAATTATGCTTTTGGATGAAAAAATTGGTGAGTGAAAGATACAATTTCATAATACAATTCAATAGGGTAATTTTTATAATCTGCATTTTTCTGTACTTTTTTTCTTAGAGGTTGAAAGAAGTGGGGAATGCAAATAAATACACCTGCCTCAGTTTTAACCTTTCAAGTGCAAAACATATGTTTTCTTTCATTGTGGGAAGGATATTGCATTTTAAAATTCTATAATGGAGCTCTTGCAAGTAAATTTCAGCTGGACAATGTGTGTTGGTGCCAAATTGCAGTGTCTGAGCATATCAGTTATATTTATGACCCACCAAGGCAGTGGTAGCATCTCTCAGCACCATAAGGTGATGATGATGATGGAAATCAGGAAAACACCATTTGACTTTCCCTGGGTGATGCCATGCTCACTGCTACTGTTGATTTTCTTGTCCTTAATGTGCCTGGAAATCATTTCCAGCATTACCTGCTCTGTCAGAGCAAACTGGGTTTGAACACTTGGCAGGTTCTTTTGGCATCCAAAAACATGAGGTAGAAATCTGAGAGCCTTTCATCCTGTGTTTTGAAGTATGGAAGAAATTCTGTGGAAAAAGTAGAACGTGAATATATGCTATGATGCCCCTGAGAGACTGTTTTATCTCCTGGAAGTGGTTAAAAAGTGTCATTGAGCTATATAAAGAGTAATTTGCAGCCTGCATGGTTTTTGGTGATATGTAAAGCTCACTAAGAGAAGGGTTTCTGTGATTCTTCTCTGCAAATGCAATGTATGTAGATCAAACACAGATTGATTCTGTGGCCATTGAAAGGTAAATGTAGTGTGTAACACAGTGCTAGGGAGAGACATTTTTTAGAATCTGGTTTTGTAGTGAGTAGATTGCTTTTTTCATTATTATATTGCCCTTCTTAAGCAGTGTTGGATTTTATAATGACATTACTCTTCCTTAATTTTACGTAAAGTTCATTCAAATAAAAAAAAAACTTATAAAAAATGCCTAATATCAGGATAGCAGTCTCTTCCCTCATCAGTCAGTCCATGCTGTAATCTATATATTGCCTCTGTGTACACTAATTCTATTCAAGCCTTTATTGCTATAATACCCAAGAAAGTTTTTTTAATGATCTAAATATTTGCTCTTTAAAAATCGATTTATTTTGAGCCAAATAATTTAAGGCCTTCATCTAAAAAGGAAAGCACTCCCATAGATATCAGTGAGATTATTTATGTATTTTGCAAAGGTTTATGCTTCAGTGTTCTCCTGAAGGGAAAATTTTGCCTTGTTCTTTTCTGCTTCAGAAGTGTATCCAAAGAATTTATTCAAATTAATAAAAGTGGGACCTTTCTGATTGAGTCCAGGTAACTTTTCAAGACAAAGCCTTGTACAACAAGAGGAGATCTGTGCTTTGAAAAAAACAGTTGCACAGCTTGGTAAGGAGAAGGCATCTCTGCAAGACTGTGTGGAAGAAGGACAAGACAAGATTGCTGCTTTTGAGGAAAGCCTGGCAATTAAAGTATGTTCTAGTCTGTAAATATTCACAACAGGTAAACAGGGAAAAGGATCTGTTTGGTCTCACACCTATATTATATTGGTATCTACATCACTTCTCGGTGCTGACCCAGTTCTGCTCTACTTTCAAGGCAACAGGAAAACTCATGTTGATTTAAAGAGCAGCAGGTCTGAGCAGTTTTGATTTTAGATATTTTGTGTGGTATATACTTACTACAGAACCACAGAACCACAGAATCAGTGAGGTTGGAAGGGACTACATTGGGTCATTGGTCCAACCTCCCTACTCCAGCAGGGCCACCCTAGAGCACATGGCTCAGGATTGTGTCCAGATGGTTCTGGAATATCTCCAGTGAGGGAGAATCCACAACCTCTCTGGGCAATCTGTTCAGTGCTCAGTGACTGCACAGGAAAGTTCTTCCTCGTGTTCAGGTGGAACTTCCTGGGCATCAGTTTTTGCTGTTACCTCTTGTTTATTGGTTTCCACAAGTGAGCAGAGTCTGATCCATCCTCTTGGCACTTCCCATTGATGGACTTGAATATATTAATGAGGTTCCTCTTGGTTGTCTCTTCTTGAGGCTGAACAGGCCCAATCAGCCTTTCCTCATCACTGAGGAGCTCCAGTCACTTAATCATCAAGATTCAAGATATCAAGAGAGGAGACTTTAAGTACTCTCCTGAAGTGGAGAAAGGCAGCCAATAAAGTATTTTGTTTGTCATAAAGGTTAGCCAGAATCCTTCCTCAGGGTCCACTTAATCATCAAGATTCAAGATATCAAGAGAGGAGACTTTAAGTACTCTCCTGAAGTGGAGAAAGGCAGCCAATAAAGTATTTTGTTTGTCATAAAGGTTAGCCAGAATCCTTCCTCAGGGTCCCCGTTTGTCATAGAGTTAGCCAGAATCCTTCCTCAGGGTCCCTTGATGTTAAAGATGCAGGGTACTAAATAATATTGCCTGTGCTGTCATTGAAGGAACACCTGAAATACATTTATTCACCTTAAGGAGTATTGCACAGTGTGATTTCAGTCTATATAATGAAGTTGCCTAGTTATTAGTTCTGAAACATTATTTTTCACTTCAGTTTAAGTGACCTGGATATTGATTTAGAACAAACTAAGTAAGGTATTTTTTAACTGTTGTGATTTAACTCGAGAATTTGCATTGATTTTTAACAAAACTTTAAAGAGAAGGTATTGCAGGACAGGCTAAAATCATCTTTTCATAAGCACTGACTTTGTAAATTGTAAAAAGGTGTCAGTTTTAGAGAAGGGATTTCTGTCTCTCACCTCTCTTGTGTCTCCAGTAGGAGATATTTTCTAAGTCTATCTATGCTTCTTTTAGTATCTCTATCCAAAGACAAGGGAATAATGTAATATATTCTGTGATGGAATTCTTGTTTTATCCATTACAAACTTCTAGACAAGTAGATTATTCATTGTCAAAAAGTTGTCTTAACTTACCTAATAGGCAAAAGACATAATTTTGTTTTGAGACTGTGAGCCAAATGCTACATTTAGAAACATAAAGGATTAAAGAAATTAATTAAAATCATTATGTTTTGCAGAAGATAACATTTGTTCCTTTATTTGCCAAATTAAAAAAAGAATTTTTAGCTCTAAACAATATATGGTGCAACTCATAAAATCACAATCCATCTTTCATGAAATAGTTAAATTAATCAGCTAGCTGAATAAAAGGAAATATAAATGATAATTTTTTCCATTTATACTGATGAGTGGTTAGAAGTTTATTTTAATTTTGTATTTCTTTTCAAGGAGAAAATAATTTCAGATTTCAAGATTCTGATTTCTGAGTTGGAGCATTCCACAAAGTAAGGATGAAATGTCAAGATCATTATCAAATTGTGGTTAATTGATAGCATTAAATGAAAAATCGAATCGTAGGATGTGCTGATAGATAAATATTTTTTTACTCTATTAAATATTAAAGTGCTGCAGCTTTGATTCATGACTTGAAAACTTAACCATTGGTAAAGCTGTCATTTTTATTCAATTGGGCAGTGTTGTCATACCTGAAGAATATTTTATTTGCTGCCTAGAAAATCTGCTGAAACACTCTCCGTCTGTGAGAAAGAAATCACCAGTTTGCATCAACAGCTAGAAGAAACCAACAAAGAGCTCACACAGACTAACAGGGACAGAGAATCACTAGCTCAGGAGAATGACAGGTTACAAGAGCATCTTTCTAATGTTAAACAAGACATTCAGGTATGTTCATACAGAGAACCCTGGATTATGGTGTCTTTTCCAAGTAGTGCAGAGAATTGGTGGGTCCTCATCGGAAGTAAATCTGCAAACTAGTTTTTAAGTTGATGTTTCAAGCTCTGATTTTGCCCTTATTGCTCAGCTCAGTTGTGTAATGGTTTGGATGGGTGTCTTAAGGAACAGCTAATTAATGAGGGTTTTTTCCTGATCTTAAAGTGGAATCGTAGAATCATCAAGGTTGGAGGAGACCTCTAAGATCATCCAGTCCAACCATTAACCTGTCACTGCTGGAACCCCTAAACCCTAAACCAGATCCTCCAGTGTCAGATCCAGACACCTCTGGAACACTTCCAGGGATGGTGACTCCACCACCTCCCTGGGCAATCTATTCCAGTGCCAAATAAGAACAATGTGGCAGCTCAAACTGCTGCTTATATGGATAAGTAGTACATATTCCAAAATAAAAACAATGTGGCAGCTCAAACTGCTGCTTATATGGATAAGTAGTACAAAGGAAGTGCTGAGTGTTTCTTAGAATCATAGAATCATAGAAAAATAAAAACAATGTGGCAGCTCAAACTGCTGCTTATATGGATAAGTAGTACAAAGGAAGTGCTGAGTGTTTCTTAGAATCATAGAATCATAGAATCAACCAGGTTGGAAGAGACCTCAAAGATCATCCAGTCCAAGCCTACCGTGGTCACTAGACCATGGCACTAAGTGCCACATCAGTCTCAGCTTGAAAACCTGCAGGGATGGGGAATCCACCACCTCCCTGGGCAGCACATTCCAATCCCATTCCAATCCCATTCCAATCCCATTCCAATCCCATTCCAATCCCATTCCAATCCCATTCCAATCCCATTCCAATCCCATTCCAATCCCATTCCAATCCCATTCCAATCCCATTCCAATCCCATTCCAATCCCATTCCAATCCCATTCCAATCCCATTCCAATCCCATTCCAATCCCATTCCAATCCCATTCCAATCCCATTCCAATCCCATTCCAATCCCATTCCAATCCCATTCCAATCCCATTCCAATCCCATTCCAATCCCATTCCAATCCCATTCCAATCCCATTCCAATCCCATTCCAATCCCATTCCAATCCCATTCCAATCCCATTCCAATCCCATTCCAATCCCATTCCAATCCCATTCCAATCCCATTCCAATCCCATTCCAATCCCATTCCAATCCCATTCCAATCCCATTCCAATCCCATTCCAATCCCATTCCAATCCCATTCCAATCCCATTCCAATCCCATTCCAATCCCATTCCAATCCCATTCCAATCCCATTCCAATCCCATTCCAATCCCATTCCAATCCCATTCCAATCCCATTCCAATCCCATTCCAATCCCATTCCAATCCCATTCCAATCCCATTCCAATCCCATTCCAATCCCATTCCAATCCCATTCCAATCCCATTCCAATCCCATTCCAATCCCATTCCAATCCCATTCCAATCCCATTCCAATCCCATTCCAATCCCATTCCAATCCCATTCCAATCCCATTCCAATCCCATTCCAATCCCATTCCAATCCCATTCCAATCCCATTCCAATCAGTATCCTTTGACTGGCCTAGCGTACCTAAAGGTTTAGGACTTCTACTTGCCAATAATTGAACACAGTACACATTGTAATGAGAATCTAAACTTTATGAATAGTATTGTATTTATGTTTCTTTTTAAGTGCCATTTGGATAAAAGACACTTGAAATAGTTATAATATAACCTTACATCACCTACTGTCTTAATCTCTGTGCAGTTCCTAGTTCTCTTTCTCAAGCAATAGTTACGAGAAATTCGGTGTGTGTTCTCCTAATGCTTATGGATTTCTTTCTCCTGATTGGGAGATAACAATTAATTAGGATATAAGCAATTAATTAATAACGAAACCACTTAATTCAAATATGTATCTCTTCTGCTTTTACACCTGTGGGCTTTTAAGAGACTGAAAGATGTAAAAAGAGGGAGCTAGCTCTGAGCTCTGCTTCCTAAATGGGACAGGCTGTTTTGTGACAACCATCCAACTGCTAAATAAACCACCTCTATTTTTCTCCTTAACTGCTGCATCCCTTTGATGACATTTTTCAGAAGACTTAGCATTATTCGTAAATCAAAGAAGACAATAATTTTTGACAAAGGAAATTTTTATAGAAATATCCAGAAGGTAGATTTTATATTGATTTTAAAAAACAATTTATAAAACCATTGGCATTAGATACACACTAATTCTATTGTTTTGTAAAGCTACAAGCAGTATGCTTTAACCTTCCCAAAAACATCTCTCTTCATAGGTGCTACATAAAAAACTAGCAAAGTACCAGAATGAGGCTGATGTTCTGAAGCTGAAAGCACAGGATTCAAACACACATATTGTCAGGCTGAAGGATGTTCTGAAGTCTCAAGTGAGTATATGAATTCCAACTGTTAAGGAAAGCTGTTGTTTTAGTTACAAATGAAATTGGAACAATATCTCCAAGGAAGAATTTGCTCCATAACCAAACTTGGTTACATTCTACTCATTTGTTTTGTTAGTTTGAACACATTTTCACTGCTTTTCTTGAAGTAAGCAATTAATGCAGAGTATTTCATTGTGGTTACACACACACACACACACAGAGTCACACGTATGTGTTCATTAAATTAGAATTTCAGACAGTGAATAGTACAGAGACTTGGAAGACTTTTGTCTTTATTACTATGTGTGTTTAAATTTAACAAAATTTCACCGTACTATATTGCTATACCTTGTATTTCTAATGTTAAACTGCCCATGGTTAACAGATGCCTTTTGCTCATTGAAATGTAGTTAGTCATCTTGAACAAAACACTGGCTTTTGAGAAGTCTCTCAATGTTTTGGCTAAATGACAACATTTTGTTCATCAGAAAGGGACTTGACAGTGCTGGTGGCAGTGACTCAACATGAGCCAACAGTGTGCACAGGTGGCCAAGGAGGCCAAGGGCATCTTGGCCTGGATCAAGAACAGTGTGACCAGCAGGACTAGGGCAGTGCTCATCCCCCTGGACTGGGCACTGGGAGGTCACAGCTCAGTGCTGTGCTCAGTTTTGGGCCCCTCACTGCAAAAAGGACATTGAGGCACTGGAGTGAGTCCAGCCAAGGGCAACGAGGGCAGAAAAGGTCTGGAAAACATGTGGGATGAGGAAGGGCTGAGCGAATTGGGTTTGTTTGGCCTGGAGAAGAGGCTCAGGGGTGACCTCCTGGCTCTCTGCAACTCCCTGCCTGGGTTGGAGAGAGGTGGGGGATGTGTGTCCTGCCAGGGCTGCAGGGAGAGGACTAGAGGGAATGGCCTTGAGCTGAGACAGGGCAGAGTCAGATTAGATGTTAGGAGAAATGTTTTCCCTGTTAGGATGTTCAGGCACTGGAATAGATTGCCCAGGGAGGTGGTGCAGTCACCATCCCTGGAAGTGTTTCAGAGGTGTCTGGATCTGGCACTGGAGGATCTGGTTTAGGGTTTGTGGGTTCCAGCAGAGTAGCAGGTTAATGGTTCTCCTCCAACTTGATGATTCCATGGTTTTCAGTGGAAAGAGCATATCAAATATCATGCCTGTAGATCTATACATATCCCTATTTTTTGGAACTTACTGTAAATTATTAAGTAAACAAACTTTATGTGTTAGGAGAGAGAGAACCGTGAACTTTTGGAGAAGTACCACAGAGCCCGTGAACAAGGAGAAATTTGGGAAGCAAAATGCCATCAAGCAGATGCAGAATTTTCCTCTGCTAGACTGGCACTGGCCAGGGCAGAGTCTGAGAACCACAGGCTGAAGGAGAAAATAGAGTCCCTTGGAACACAGATGGAGCAAGTGAGTTGAAATCATTCTTTCCATAGTTCATCCTTGAAACGGTCTAGTTGTGTTTTAAAATGATGTTTTAATGCCAATTCTCATATTTTAGAGACATTTGCTACAATGAAGTGCATGGATTTTGAGTTTATAGAATAACATTATTAGAATTCCTCTAGCCACACTTGAAGAGTGATTGGGCACTGGAACAGCTCCCCAGGAAAGGTGTCACAGCCCCAATCTTGACAGAACTCCAGAGGTGTTTGGCCAATGCTCTAAAATGATGTTTTAATGCCAATTCTCATATTTTAGAGACATTTGCTACAATGAAGTGCATGGATTTTGAGTTTATAGAATAACATTATTAGAATTCCTCTAGCCACACTTGAAGAGTGATTGGGCACTGGAACAGCTCCCCAGGAAAGGTGTCACAGCCCCAATCTTGACAGAACTCCAGAGGTGTTTGGCCAATGCTCTCAGGCACACGGTGTGATGTGATGGATGTCTGTGCAGGGCAGGAGTTGGACTAGATAATCCTCAAGGATCCCTTCCAATTCTGATGATTCTGTGATTCTGTGAGAAAAAAAGTCTTAACAAATAATAGCATATTTGAAGGAAAGAAAAATATAAAATACTCTGATGTTTGGAGTGACTGAAGGCATAAAGACACACAGGACTCTACAACATATTTGAATCATATCCAATGCTTTGTCACCTGTTATATTCCTGTCCTTGCTCCTCTTGCTTCCAGCTTTTCAACCTTCCTTCCACTGCTTTAGGTGCCTCAAAGAGCCTTTTGCCACTTAAAAATCTGGAGATGGCTTTGGAAATATGTTGCAAACATATACACATGGTTTGGAGTTTTTCCAGCTTTTGCTGCAGGTCATCTCTGGTTTCCTGAAGACCACATAAACTACTGAGGGCTACTCAAGAACATTAGATATTCAAGAGGAACCAAACTGTTGCTGGTCAGAAAGCAGATGAGAACATACTAATGAAACAGCAACAGCACAGGAAGATTATGTGGCAGATTTTGACTCTATTTTTATATAATAAAGCTGGTACATGATCCTAGTTTGTCCAGTGAGCCTCAAACTGGTAGAGACTTCATCATTTTAATTCCTTCCCACATGCCTGCTATTTAGTATAGGAGCAAACAGCCTCTTCATGAAAGCTGTCAACAAATTGAGTCAGTATTCCAAATGTCATGTTAAGGTTCATGCAGTTACATGTAAGGCACAGATCTAAAACACAGAACCTTTTAATCAAAAATCTTAATGTGCTCAGCAGTGCTCTGTATTCCTTGAGATTTTTTTTAGGTGAGACAGAACTGGAGTTAATGTGATGTGGTCCCCATACAATCATCTCTCTGGATGTAATTTCTAGTAAATCCTTCAAGGAAATCACAGTGCTTTACCCCTCACTTTGCTCTGTTAACCTCCCTGGCTCATTCTGCCACCCACTGAAAATTAAGTAGTTAAAAGTGACTGACTAGAAATGCAAATATCACTGGGCAAAGCACAGGCATTTTTA